TTTCGATTAACATTTTTCGTATTTTATTTATCAAATTTCTGTAAATTTTATTAATTTAAAATTTATTGTTACCAATTAATCCAGAAAATTTTAGCAATAAATCAAATAATTGAAGATTGTGACATGTTCATTCTGCCAATCTGATAATAAATTTTTTTTTAAAGATACTCATACCATTTTGAATGTTTACTTCGAAAAATCCGTAATAAGCATCAGCAATAAATAATAAATTCGGATTTTTTCGATTGAATCGTATTCCTAAAGGACGGCCACATTCCGGTAATGAATGATAGCTTCCATCACATGGTTTACCGTATTCCGCTCTTGTAAATAATTTGAAATCTTTCACCAACTTCGCCTATTAGTAATAATATGATAAACAATTAGAAATTATTGCATATTTCTATGCTAACGATAAGAATTCCAAATTATTTATGGCTAAACTACCGAATTATTTGAAATACTAAATTTGATAATTTATAATGATAAGAGGAGAATTTTCTAATTCGAAGCTCTCTCCTACTCATTCCTATATGGAAACTAGAAAACATCAAAGAATTAGGCATTTTTTAATAAAAATGTTTACATTTTTAAATTTATCAATTTCAATTGTGGCAATGAAGCCGTTTTTAAGCCCAACATAAATAGTTTTAGTTTCTTCATGTATTGCAATTGATTCCGGTCCATTAATTTCATTCAGCAATAATGTTTCAGCATGTGTTAATTCTTGATTTGGTTTTAAAGCACCCGTAAGATCCGGTGGTTTTGGAAGTCTAAAATTAGAAATTAATTTAATGATTTATGGTTTAAACGAAAAAGAAAAGAAAAAATTTGCTTTAACTTCGTTATAGCCTTATGTTTGAGAAAAAAATAGTCGTGAAAAAAGAGCAAAAGAAAAAAACAAAATCATAATACTTAAAAAAAAATGAAATTTGTGCATTCTATAGTTTTTATCATATAATAATTACAAATTACTATTATCTATTGAAATACTGTGGATTAATTTTTGCAAGCATTATCAAATTCATTGAGTGAAGTATTGTAGAAGTAATAATATTTCCTTATTTTACTGTTTCTGAGAAAATTTTTTACAAAATTTAGTTTACTGATAGGGATAGATTTGATATGGAAGATATTAGTATGATAAATTTTTCCTAATTTAAAATTTAAAACATCAAAAATAATGTTTTATATATTTAGTATGCCAAATGATTTAATTTGGTGAAACTCTTTGAAATGCTTTTTAATAATAGCAACCTATTTTTTCTCATTTTTTGGTATATGATTATTTTTTATGCGGCAAAATTGCCTACCAATATAAAAGTTGCCAAAATAGATTAATTTAAATTAAAATTTTCAATCTTACCTATATTTTACAGATTGAATAGGTCCATTCGAAATGTAACGGTCTAATAACATTGCCAAAATGGTTGAAATAAAGAAACCGTATGAGAACAAACAAAAACGTTGAAAACTAAAAATGTGTATTATCATTATTATTACTTATTAATTGCTAATAATATTAACTACTAATTATTTTTGTTATCATTCAATCATCCTGTCAATAAAGTAACACTATTTAAACAAATATTTTAAGTTCATTTTTTTTAAAACTCTGAATTAAAATCAGAATAATCGAAAGATTTATTTATAATATGAGAAAAAATTATTGCTATGAAATTTTGACATTCACAGTTTTAAAAGTTTTTAACCATACGTTGAAAATTGTCGGAGTTTCTTAGTTTTTGGTAAATATATTATAGCTGATAATGATGAATCTTCGCCCAACACGCCATGGAGCAGTCCAAATTGATTCAGTTTATTTCTTTGACGCCTTACCATTTGATAGTTATTCAAGTTTCATGCGATAATTATTCTTAATTAATATCGTATAATATAAAATAATACAATTCTGAAGAAGATAAGGAACGAAGTAAAAATTTGGTGATTTTTAAAACAAACAAAAGTAAAATGATAGTAAATGGGAAAGGAAATATGTGAAAGAAAGCACATAAAATGAGACTGATAGATCAAATTTAAAAGGAATATTCTGGGATGTTTCATCATCAACTGTTCCTACTATCATTGGTATTAATAATAGAAAGTGATATGTCATAAATTAGTACTATTATTGATGACAGAAAGTAATGTACTATAACTAGCATAGATTAATGGAAATAAGTCAAATTGTTGCTAAAATTACATTCAAATTAGCTCATATGAGTGGATTTTAGATATATTTAAAATTGGTTAAATAAATGAATAGATCAAATAAATGTCTGCCTATATATTTTTTTTAAGTTTAGATTTGATACTAAAAAAAGCTTGGGAAAATTCGAATTGATATTTAGTTGGTCATAACGTTCTTTTTTTTTTAATTATTTGTTTTTTTAAAATATATTATTGATGGATCAAACTACCAAAGTCTCTTTTTAAAGTAATTTTTTTTTGCACAGTGAAACATTACGTTAGTTTATTCATTATTGCATTAATAAATTGGTTTTGTTTATGTGGTAATGGTATAAATGATATAAACTAATTTACGGTGAATCATAATTTGAAATACTTATACGATCACAATTTGGCTAATATATAGCTTAATGGAAATGAATGAGATTATAAATTGTAGGAAGATAATACGATGATGTTCGAATTTTGAAAATAACAGTAGTTATCATAAATTATGAAGATGATTGAATTAAATTTCCTCGTTATTTTTTTCTCGTTATAAAAGTGTTTATGAATAATTTAGAAAATATATAATCCCAATAATTTTAATTTTGGATTTTGAATTTTGGTTTTTTATGTTTTTTTTTTTAAAGAATGATTGTGTCAGTGATGTGATACAATGTAATACGATGAAGATAATTTTCTGTTAAATATTTATTTCATATTTTGAAAAACTTCAAACATTAATTAAAAGTATCAGAGCTGTCATTTGACCATCACATATTGCATTACATAAAGCATCATTACATTACATTATTAATAAATGTTTATGAATCATTGAGCATTTTAAAACTGCGATGACAATTACTATATAACATAATAATAAATCATTCAGATGCTGAAATCTCATAATTAATGTATTGCTGAAAATAATTAATGTATTTCATATTAATTAAACGTGATGCTCTCTCAATACTAATCTATAAAGTTGCACAATTTGTTATTCTCATATTTATGTAATACATTTTAGATTATTTTGTTGATTTTGTTCAAAAAGACAGTAAATTAAATGTTGTTCTTAATTAGTTGCATATTCCGAATGAACTGAGTCCCCTTAAATGTCATGCATCTATAGGATGATATCTTATGCATAAATATGTGTATTATATCAATTAAATTAGCATCTTGATCGAACATAGAAAAAAGTCATATTTTGATCATAGGTGATCGATACTGTTAATTTCATGATCACATTAGTTTCAACATAATATAACTATTAATTGAATGATGATTTTTATAAAATAACGTAAATTTAACGAAGTTATGAAAGTCATTAAGCATCCATTAAAATTTAAAAAAGCAGTTATCTAAAAAAATCTAGCAAAGCAGAAACGAGTTTTTTTTATTGATTATACAATAGCAACTACAATTCATCAGAAGATGCATTGCGACACTATGAATTATCGTTTGTTATAAAGTTGCTTGGATGATCTCTTCTTTTTGACAACCTATTGTAGTCAAATTACCAATGTGGAGCGAAACTTTTTATCTTTATCACAAAGTCCAGAATTATATGATTGATTTCACAACCAGCGTGGCACTAAAAGGCTTGCCTTCTGATGAGCAATTTTGCAGCGAGTGGGGTTTGAACCCACGAGGACTTAGCGTCCATTGGATCTTAAGTCCAACGCCTTAACCACTCGGCCATCGCTGCCCCGCCTCTATTATCTGAGCATTTTATAGATAATACAAATTAGTATTGCTACATGTTTAATAATGTTCTAATTCGCAAAGCTAAGGATCATACAGTTCATTTTTATTCAGCTAAAGGTCGTAGCAGTTCGTTTTGCTCCTATAAAAGTGGAGGAAAAATGTTGGAAAGGTCGATAAATACTAGTTAATAATCGCGATATTCTTCATGTTAATTAAAAAAGAACTTTCGAATACGTTGATCGTTTTTAGAAACGCATTATTTTTATATGCAAAAAATAACTAATCTATTCTTTAACAGCATAAAGTATAGAGATCATAGTGGATTGAAAAGTTTACAAATTCCAAAATCTTAGCTTAGAAGTTTACATTTACTCGAATTGATCTCATCGATAATCCAATTTATGCAATGGCCAGAAAAGTAAATAATTAGCGGAGTAAGCAAATGTTAATAACAAAAAATTTGTGGGTTGTATGGCAAAAAAACATTCATTTATTATTTTGATAAGTAATAATAAGTCTGACATTTGGTAACAAATATTTTTTCTTCTGCCCAGTTTCCTTTAAAAACCTTCCTTTAAAAGTGAATTGCTTAAAAGAAATAAAAAAAAGTCAGTTATTGCAATTTGTACTGTCATAATTACTATATAATTTGATCTTAATGTAAGTGAAGACTTGTTATAAAAATATTTAAAGGATATTTGCACTTTTAAATATATTCAAATTCGAATCTAATTTGAAAATAAATACTTAGGTTTAATATAATTTAACAATAACTATTTAAAGTTTGGACAAAATTTGTACCTATACATCGCGTCAGTGGTGTAATGGTCAGCATGGTTGCCTTCCAAGCAATCGACGGGGGTTCGATTCCCCCCTGACGCATGGAGGATTCTCAACCATCGGGATGTCTACCTCTCCGACTTCCACTTTGCGGGAGAAAATATTGCAACTACTGATTGCTACTTAGCACGTTACACATTTAATTTCATGCGTACCAAATTTCAGATAATTGACAGAATAAAATTCTGCATCGCGGTGGCAATTTCGCATATCCTGGGAAATATTCTTCAAAAAATTTGAATTCAAAAGCCACGCCAGGCCACAGCCTAACAAGTAAGCAGTTTGTTATCAACCTGAGAAAAAAATCCCAAATTAGAACACTACTGATATTCAGCACTTTCAGATAATCATGACAAATACCATCGTGTCTTAGTGATGAGCTCTGATACGTACATTTTAGAAGCAAACTTTCTTGTCACACTATTCTCTCAATTCCATCGTAAATTGCTAATGTTTATCGTTTAATCGTTCAAATATCATCGACATATGACTAAGTACCAAATTTCTGGAAGTTTTTTAAATTTTTTCTTTGCGATCATTTTAAATTTTAATTTTTTATATTATTTTAACAATATTCTTGATTCTGGGAAGAAAAAAATTATATTTTATTTATCAAAATTATCACTTTATGATATAATGCTCCTTCAACTATGAAGAAATACATCAAAGATTTCCAAATGTTGCATTGCATTATTAAAGTTTGAAATTAATTAAAAATTAACCCAATTTTTTGACATTTCATTACACAGATCGAATGATAAGGAATGCAATGGAAGGATTATTAGAACATTAAACTCTTCATTTCATTATTAAATTGTTCAAAATATACAAAATAATCCCACACAGCCATCAATAAAACAATCTCTCTCTCTCTCTCAAACGGAATCATTGCGCATCGAAGTCGTTCCGCATTCGTAGCATGCAACTTTATTGCAATAGTTAAGATCATTGTTATCATTTCTATGTAAGGCCTATGTATGTTTGGGAGGTTGTTGGGGAGTTGTGAGGTGCTTGGATGGCTTGTTATTAAAGGAATTTAGAAAGTTTATAAGTGATTTTTGTAAATTTTTGGGCAAAAGGATTGAAAATTGTCGGAAGGATTATTTTGCGTTAAAGATTGATTAAAATTTGGCAGAGATTAATTAGTCATGGAAATAATTCGTGAGAAGTGGTAGATGAAATGATGTCAACTGTCGTTATTATTTGATGTAATTAATTTCACAAATATGGATTGGAAGTTTTTTCAAAGCATTATTTCTGGTGAACGGTATCATTTGTTTGTATTTTTACTTTGCTTTATCATTTGTTTATATATTTTTACTATCATTGATATAATTTTACGTTAACTGTTACACAATTGAATACAAAAATAATGCCTTTTGTATGGTGAGATCTATGTCACTTACTGAAAAATGTTGCGAGAAATTGTGAATAATAATGGAAATATTTATGATATTCAGGACATAACTCTAATCTCTTTCAAAAATTTGTACTAGATGTCACTATAATGTAATGGGATTTCTTCTATCGTACACTTTAAGTTTTTGAATACGACTTGTGTTCAAATAATAAGTATATATTTTATAGGTGCTGCAATAACTGGTATGATTTTTGTCGGAATTTCAGTGTTAAGAGAATAGAAACAAACATAATTTGATTTATTTATCTTTATTCATCAATGTCCACATCTGAAAAACATCGCGTGTGCCACAGCAAATCCAAAAGCGACAGCGTCGACGAGAATGATTCGAAGTGAGTTGCTATGCTGAAATTTCACTATCAGTAGATTCACTTGTATATTTTCGTAACAGCTTCATTTAATGATTTTTGAAGTGTCATTCAAATATGTGACCTTTGAAATTTGGAAGCAATGGCAGTGCCATTATTTAATTTGATTTTTGACGCATGATAGTGATTTCTGTTTTAATAGAAGTACAAATTATCTATTCTAAAATTTTTACCTTCTAATTTTAAAAGATATTAATAAATGTTACTAGGATTTTAGATACGAATGCAGCATCTGCTATAAAGAAGCAGTGAATCCGGTTGTCCTTAGCTGCGGCCATTTTTATTGCTGGGAATGTATTGATGAGTGGTTGAATAAGTACGCATACAATAAGAAACAATGTCCTATTTGCAAAAGACGTGTACGAGATGGTGACGTATGTTTAATGTTTCTTTATAAATGTGATGAAATATATCATCCATTGCATGATCGCCACAATGAACTTTGTGATGAACTTAACACAGCTCTGACAAAAGTGTCAATGGGAATGAACATGCTGCTGTTGTTGAATGTGAAAATTGTTTACCAAAAAATTATTATAATAGATTGCACGGAAACCTTATCTATCTCCTTAAATATATGGGACTATATCTTTTATTAGGTATCTATATTTTATTCACTTTTTCACATTTGTTTAGAATTCTCCATATTCTCGTGAAACCTGGAATATACTTCACTTTTCAGACTTTGAAGTATTTTGTTTGTTTATCGTTTACTTTAAGCAGTAAAATAGTAGTTTTCTGTTAAAGTATAGCTAGATGTTACCTGTAGCTGTTTTCATTTTTTTAAAAGAATCTTTTTAGGTTATTCCGATTTATGGTAAGGGGATGGTGAGTCACTGTGAAAATCCGAGACCCTCAGCACCTGCACAAAATCGCAAAGTTAGTTATTTTTTAATAGAAATGATTCAAAAAATTTGAATTCTAGTATTTATAAGCAAGTGATTTCAGAAACACGTGCAACAGGAGATGGAACCCATCCTGAATTTGTTTCACATGATACTTAAAAAAAAACCTCACAAGTAGTTTTGCATTTGTACTTGCTCCTGGTCTTCTATTATGAACTTAATAATTCCAGAATCAGGAGGATATGAAAAAGTGTCGAGAAATCAAAATCATATCAGCAGCAGCTGATGGAGTGAGCTCATATGCTTGTATGTGTGGATGGATGTGTGTATATTTGTCATCATGATATGATGGGCTTCTTTAATTAATAAATCCTTAAAACTCAACCAAGTTACATAAACTAATTCAAGGATAATGAAAATGAATCGCAATCATTGTGTGAAGATAGTGACTGGACAAATTTCATCAAAGTAGGTACTGCTGTTGTTGGCTTAATTGCCGCATTCATGCTCGGCAGGCAAACAGCGAAAAGGTAACTTTTTTTTCTGAAGTTATTAAAATTTCTGAATAACTTTTAAATTGTGCCTTAAAATTTATTAGTTTAATGTTTTCACATTTGTCTCGCGCAGATTGTTTGCACAGCCACCGTTTATATTTTACGATTCGTCATAATTATTGATGCACGTTTCATCAAAAACCTCTTTTAAAATTTTTGAGCATTAAAATACACTAGAATAACTTCAGAAAACTTGTTGCACAAATAGTGTCTGATTTCTATGTGATAATATCTTTTTTTGGTAGAAATAAAGACTATTGTTTTGTTTAATTTCTTAAATTATAGGACACGCAAAAACTAATTTGGTGATCACGAAAACTTGGTTTGATTTATATCTGTAAATTTTTAAATGTGTATTATAAATTTTGAAATTACACGAGCTTCAAAACCGATAAATATATTTTTTGATTCATTTGCTTTTTCATATTTAGATCAATAATTCATTAGTCATGTATTTTGCAACTTAAGTTACTAAAATGGTTAACGAATGTATATTGTCCTCGATGTGTGTTTTCGTTTAATGGTGTAAAATAAATATTTCTGTCAATAATTGATTAAAGCAGTTATTATTCGGTATAAATGAGTGACCGTATAAAGTATTAGCAAAAATAACGATGTTTGCTGAAGTTCAAGTGGAAATACTCGATGGAACAGACATGATTTCATTTATAACAAATTGCTTTTCAATCGTTTGCACAACTATAAATATTCATCTTCCTTGCACATTAATATTATACATTTTGCAGGGAATTTTGGATAGTTCTTGGTGATAAATGTTATAAATATAACAAAACTTTATAACAATTTCAATGATTCTATTAGATAAATGTTTGGAATTTATATTGGATTGTTATATACGGGAACATTGTGATAGACAGAAAAAATATGCAATTGGTGGTAGCGCCGGGTTTTTAATTGGTTCGAAAATGGATGAGGATTTTTATGTGGCACATATTGCAATGTGCGCACATCCTGATACCATACAAGATGAAGTACGATTTTTCCAAGAAGCTCTATACTTGAATTTATTATTCACAAGATTTTCTTCATTGATTTCTAAGTGCTTCAAAATGAAATCTAATGTTATCATGTTATGAATGACATTGGAGACATGTGTTGGGAAGAATTTATTGATGATTTTTTTTATTGCTACTTTATTGTTCTATTTGAAAATTAAGCATTTTTAAAAATTAAGTATTAAGCATTTTATAGACTGGTGATATTCATTCGAAATCAATAGATGCCGATTGGATCGCTGATACTGGATCACGTGTTTTAAGATTTTTGCCTGGAGGTACCATGATACTTGGTGAGTATTTTTGCTAGTGCGCTGAATAAATATTAGGTATTAGTTACCAAGTTTACTGAATTTTAAATTGCTCTTACTTCATTATGAAATAATCATCCTCTTATCAATTAAGAGGATGATCATTGATTATCTCGGATTGCATTAATTTGCTGTACTTTTTGAATTTATTGATATTTATTCAATACTTGTTTAAAATGGATATGGCATGTAGTCAAATCTAGATCCACATTTTATCATTTTAGGTCTGTTATGGTTAGCTAATTCAAAAACATCGTTGCACTCAGCACAAGTTCGTGGTATGCTTGTTCAAGCACTTTCCCAGATAGCAATCCATCATAATGCACTCAGTTCCCTGAACATTAGACCTGTTGACAATTTTTTGGTTTGTTTCCCTTTTTCTTCTTGTTTGAAATTTAGCTTGATTATTGTTAAGATTTTTGAAAAAGTATGCTATAAAATTTTGATAAATTTCTGCAGTGGAATTATACATTTTAGGCATTAGTTGGAATTGAAATACCACTGGGGAAGCCGTTTGGATGTATTGTTGATTGCAGCCGGAAAGGTGCTGTTGGCTCACAAACTAAAGTGAGCTTTAATCAGGTATTTCTAGTTTTCATACTTGTTTTTAATCGTACACTTAATCATTTAATTGGTGCAATAACACTGGTGGTGCAAACCGGAAGTGAGGTATGAGTAGTTTAAAGTAATCAGTCTTCATTAGGATGTTACTATTACGTTCAATCAATGTTCAAGTGATATATATTTCGGATTTTATATCTTAGATAATAGTTTTGTAGTACTGTAGTATAGTTTATCAGTGATATAGTAAAACGAGTTATAGCTTATTACATGCTACTTATTACAGTTAGAATGGATACGTTTAGAATCATCTGCTGCTTTTCGATTATCAGAACCTTTGGTTGATGGTGTTTGGGATTTTCACAAGCAGTTTACAAGTGCAATATATGAGTGGGCTGAATATGTAAATATTTTTGTTATGTTTCTATCGAAACTTCCAAATTTAGAGTTTGAAATAAGGCAGTGGTGGTCTTGTGCTACAAGTTTTTAACTTCTGTCTTCAAGATTTGGTTACTATTATGATAACTTGGAAGCTGAAATAATTGATCAACTTTATTCCAGCTTTTGAAAACAGATGCAGCATTAGTAAACGGCTTGTCACGGCCACGAGATGAATTTCTCAGACCTCGAGATCGGAAAAATCGAGGGCCGGCTACATTTGATATTGAAATATTTTTAAATGTCGGTACGTTTCATCAAATATTCTATTAATTTATGCTCACATATTTCTTTGTTATACGAAATAACTGCACATTATTTCCCTACAAGATTTGCGTTTATATTTTAATTTTTCACTCATTAAACGAATTATTTCGAGTTTTGATAATTTTATAAAGAATAACGAAGATAGAAGATTGATGTGATTAGAATTTGAAACTTAATATAACTATGATATGAATTGTTTACTATCATTTTTAGAAGATAACTTTAATCGAGTAAATACATAGCGATTCAAACTAAAAAAGCTATTGAATGGCATGAGATTTGTACATGTCGCGTTTGGATAAACAAAATAATTGCAATTAAATGAAATTTTAGGCGAAAAAAATGATTTGCATAATCAAAAAATATCTTCATTTTGCACCATTGATTTGATCGTGGATATTATTGCGAAGGCAGCAGTTCCTAGTAAAGCTACCGTTGGTCATGCAGTTGATGCTGTGAAGGAGCATATAATACGATCGTTATGTAGTAGAGCTGGTACTTAATGCTTATCGTATATAGCGAGTAATAAACAAAAAATCTTTGACTTCTGTCAAATCATATCATCATTAGAATTTTTTGAAATAAAAAAAACAGACTTTTAAATTTTTTGATATGCTTCAATCTATCTATAAATAAGCCTGTCAGTTGTTTCAGTATATAAACTTGTACATATTTTAAAGAACTTCATTACGAAAGTACGGATGTGATCGAAGATGAACCAAAGGACCGCTTAGCAGTACATCAATTACCTCGTGCTGCTTATGTGTCTTTACCCAGTCAACGGGCAATCGTTTTCACTGATTACTTGTTTGAAAGTGATACGGCGAATGATGCACAGCAGTCTTTTGCGGAATTTTTGACTCTCAAAGTTTCCGAAGGTAAGCAGTATTTTTAATGGATTTTTCTCAATCTTAATTCTTGTCTTTTAATTCTTGTCAATTGTCAGATATAATGCCTTTTTGCACAAACATTATGTTAAATGTATGTGTTACAAACATGTTTTAATTTTTTCATAATAATTTTGTTTTCATACTTCTTTATACTAGCTTTTTCAGTCGAATTTAATCATTTGTGGTAGAAATTAAAATAAGTGATAAAATATTTAGATGACATTGATATAAACAGTGAACGTCATTTGGATGGGAACGATTTACTGAGCATGTTAAATGAAGATGATAGGCATAGCCGTGTGGAACAATCCAGTTCATCGACATCGAGCTTAAGTTCTGTTATATTGCCTCCAATGTGTAAAGCTGGTGAATTAACTTCGATAAATTACTATTTCCTCATTGCAGCACTTGTTGCTTTACTGGCGTTTGTTATCTGTCTTCTGATGAAAACGATATCTTCTTAGCAGTTCTTTAAAGTCATATCATTTAAATGTAAATGACTATTTCTTGCTATAGAATTCTTCGTTAGTTATAGCAAACCAAATATAAATTTATCCTTAACTAATTTTTGTGCATATTTGCAAAAAAAATGACAAATCCTAACAAAATTTAAAAGCAAAAACTTAATTCCTTAAAAATTTTTTTCTATCATTTCTGCTGGGTTTACTGGTTTTCATATTAATTTCAGTTTAATTCTAGGGTTGGTGGAGAGATTATCGTAGCTTATTTATTTTGTCTGGATAAAATTTTTTTCAGTTTCTATTAATTTTAACTCCAATGTTTTACTGATGCGATATTATAGGTAGGATAGCAATATGATTTATAAATGGAGGAGCTGCTTATCATCAAGTACAATGAGAATTTTCAGTTTAAATTCGTCTCTGTAACTTAGCACTAAATTAAATACGGTCATCCTTATTATAATTTCAACAACTTTATTGTCTAAACATCCTTAAAGCGTAACTGAATTTTAAAGCGTAACTGAAAATTTGAATTTTGAACTGAAATTATTGCAGGACTTTGATTTGATTAGATAATATTTATTAACATTTCAAAACATCGAAAATTAACTTTTTATGTTACGAAGAGATTATCGCTTTTCATATATTTAAATTCACTGTATATTTGAATTATTTAAGTTCATATTTAAATTCGTCATGTATTTGAAAAACAAAAACTTTTCCAGGTTGAATTATTTAAGTTCATATTTAAATTTACTTTATGGTTATAATAGTTTGTCTATAATATTCTATTTTGCTGAGAATTCAGTTTTAGATTTTCGACTTAGAACTGAATGCTCAGCAAAATAGAATGAGAAGAAATTTATCAGGGAAAAAACAAATCCTGATTTGCACTGCGTCGTATTTTTGCATTTCCTTTTGTAAACTCTAAATCTAAATATTGTGCATTCTTTTCTTTTTTATTTACCTTGAAAGGTATTTTAATAATGAAAAGCGCTTGTTTTTTTCTGACAATTTTCTTAAACTGTTGTTGATAATATGATAAGACGTCTTCGGTTTGTTTTCTTTTTTTTTTAATTGAAATATGGATAAATAGGAACTGCTTGTGCATTTTTTGTTGAATATTTGGTTGATATTAATCAATTTTATATATCTCATTCTTGGATAATTATTTATTATTCGTATTCCAAATGATTTTTTTCTTATTTAAATATTTGAATAGGAGATAAAAAAAACTGCAGCGATGAATTTTTTTCTCATGATAGTAGTAAGTATTTAGTTCAGATTTCGTCTCTGTAATGTAGCAGTGAATTAAGTATGGTCATTTTTATTATAATTTCAGCTGCTTTATTGCTAACAATCCTTAAAGCGTATCTTGAATTTTGAACTGAAGTTACTGGAGGTTTTGAATTGATCAGATAATGTTTTATTAACATTTCATTGACACATCGAAAATTATTTACTCTTTTTGGAATTGTTTTGTTTTACGTCTATTTTGTTTCAGGTACTTCAAATAGATTTCAATCCATATTGGAAAAATGACATTTATTAGGGCTCGAATATTCGGTATATTTCTAGAGATTATTGAAATGATTTCTTCATTGATTAAAAAATAATATAGGGTTTTTTCATTTATATTTTAAAATCAAATGAGTTATTTGATATGAATTAATTCAAGACTTTCAGATGTAAATTCTGCCGTTTCGTCCAGCTTGACAAATAATTTTTTATAATTTCTATGATTATTAATTCATAATGCAGAATCTTAAACAAAATTGGTTATGACTTACAGAGTCCTTGCTTCGACATTCGAAGATTGTATTGCAATGCAAGTTATACAAATCAAGCTATGCTATTAATGACATATTACGATTTCAAAACGACGAAGAGAATGAGCAAGAAAAAGAGGTACGGTCAAAGTATGTGTTTCGGTCACGCTTACCGGCCCTCATCAAAAATGATCATTTGGATGTGCCATTCCAGTACGAATACGACAAGATTTGTCGCGAATGTTATGCTTGGGATTCGGAGTTGAATGCTGTTAAAACAGTATGGTCAGTAAATTTTGACTTTGATATTTGAAAGAGCTATTCAAATATATTTTTTAATTTTAACAAGTATGTTTTCGTATACTTTCAGGGAAAGATTGAAACCACCACCACAGGAAAAAGTTGAAGAAAACGTGGTGGTAATTGGTAATCCGCGCTCGCTTCCTTGGGCTCCAGTAAATTGTTACTAATTTTCTGAACTTTTTTTCATTGGAAAAAATAACAATATATTTGAAAAACTTGTTTCAAATAAATGACTTTTCAAGTTTATGATTGCAGAATGAATGGTGTATAGAGCGAGCATTTGATTGCTATCGAAATAGGCGAGACGTTACACGGATTCATGTGAGCATTTGAAATTCTCGCAAAGTAGAAATTCCTCCTTATTAGAAGAGTTTACTTTTTTTGTTGACATGATCAGCTAACATATTAAACGAAAATAAGTTCACTCATATCCCATTAATCCAAAATTTTTTTTTAATGTAATAGCTGAAATCATATGACAGTTTTTAGGAATATATCGGTCTTTTTCAAAGATCCCGTCTAAATTGCTTTCAATAAATGATTAGTCTAAGAAAAATAAGTTAACGCATATCCCATTAATCCAAAATTTTTCTTTTTATTTTTTTTTTCAGTTAACTATGAAATATTTGGAAATGTTGAAAAGATTGCCGAATCTACGAATTGGTATTATGTTAGACATGGCTCATCATATTCAGCAAAAAATTCTGATAGAAAGGACTCGAAAATTGTTCGAACTAGTATGCCAAACATACTACACTGTAAGTTTTAAATGTATGTATATCTTATAATGAATTTAAAGTCTCATCAGAGTATATTTTATGAAAACTTTTTTTTGAAATTCTGCTATTTTCAGGGTGATTTGAAGAAGTTAGTAGAAAGTGATGAAAATGCTGAACCTATTGTGGAATACATGCATCAAGTTGAACAGTTTGAAGTTGAAAAGCGTAAGCTGTTAAATATTACTGAACAGGATATTGTTACCATTGCTCCAGGCCTTTATGGTTAGTTTTTGTATTTGATTCCGAAATGCTGGCATTTTAAAGATATCAGTTTTTTTAAAAAATCTTTCCAATATTATTGCAAAGATAAAGGATTAGGCTATGGTAAGAAAAATAAAATTGTTTTCATTACGGTGATTAATGTAAGTGATTCAATTTGAAAATTTTATTGTTGTACGAGAATGACAACAGTAGTATTGTATTCGACAGGACAGAACTTGTGGCATCTTTGGACAGTTTGAGTATATTAGAATTTCTTATATGTTTCGTTTATTTATTTATTAATATACGTGTCATCTATTTATAGCTTATTTAGTATGCTGCTTGAATTATCTGGAAGACACTTGAATTAAATATCACGAAATTACTAATTTTTTGTTTTAAACTTAAATGATATCTCAAAAAGCTTTTATTTTGTTTTTCAGGTTCTATCCAGGATTTTTTCCGGGTTTATTTAGCAAGTACTTATTCATTATCAATTATGTGCTGTGCACTGCATCAAAAAAACATTCTTTATCGTGTGGTGAATTTTCATTTGCATTAAATATGCTATTTTTGTCGAAGTTCATCCAGTACTCGAATTTTATTTTTTTGTAGTATTCAAAAAATATGCTTTGATATTATTCTATTATATATAATGGATTCATTTTATAGGCTGATAAGAAGTATAAATCAACGAAGAATCAGATTGCTATGCCATATGAATACTCGTATAATGTACCACATTTGATATTCGGTAATTTTGATTATTGGTACTCACGAATAAGGAAGCAGTTCGAACTTCACGACCTTCATATTTTATCTTTTCCAGTATTGCCTTGGTATAAAGATTTACCTGGTACGAATGGAAAATTCTTTTCATCAAAATATGAACGAATTCCATTACCCACAAGCATTTTTTTTAACAGTGATAACTTGTGAATAAAAAATTTATTCATTAGCAATTATGTTTTATATATTTGTTTTGAATTTCACAATTTAGATAATTTTATTAAAGCTGAAGATGATTTCTTTTCATGATCTCAATGAATTATGCCTTTTTTTATGTTTTCTTTGTTAATTTATTCTTTATGTATGGAAGAAAAAATGGAAATGCTTAGCATGGCATAGAAAGTATGAAGTGGAATTTACCTTGTCTATTATTCTGTAATTTTCATTAAAAAGTATAATAGCGAAAAAGAAAACTTTGTCGGAAATCAAAATTTTCTTTTTCATTATTATGCTATTTTTTAAAATACTTAATACGTTGTTTTTATTCTTTTTGTTATGCCATTTAATGATAAGTATAAAGTGTTATCATTTTGTCATATCAAATTCTTTCAGTGATATTATTACTGATGGAACAACCTATCGATTATCTACTTACTAAAAGTAAGTATTCATGGAAAATTTGCTCATCAAAAAGGAAAATAAAAAAGCAAAAAAGCTGAGCAGTAGTAGAAGCCAAGGTATTATCGTATAATAATTACAGACAAGAAGAATTCCATTTATTGTTTTTTCTTGTGCTCGAATCAATTTATTGGCATATTTTATAGTCGATCATTATTGTCTTATCAAATTGATAGTTTTTAACACGGATAGAAAGAAATGAAAAGTTATCATTCTTTGTGGTTTATATCGATTCATTCTTATTTCTTGGGTTTTTGTCTCTCATGACATTTGATCTTGTTTTTTTTTTTTTGAATTTATGACAATTTAATGGTTTATTTTAATTTTTTAATTATGTATGAGGTTACGAAATTTTATTCTAGAAGAATATCTGAGCATATAATATTTGAAGATATTATTAATTGGTTCATTAAGAAATAATTATTGAAATAATCTAATAAGCGATTCCATCTTTCTTTTTTGTTCCTTTCTTTTTATATGAATTAGAAATAAAATTTGAAAAAAAATGCTACTATTATTACTAAAATATTGTTACTTATCCCATAATATAGAAATTTTTTGCAATGGTTTTAATTTCGTTTTAATTTATTCATCGACAAAAATGCAACACAGGTTTGTAGTTAACATTTTATTTTCCGAGAATAGTTTCGAAAAGCATAATTGAAATATAATGCATGTTTAGTATTCCTGATATGTAAAGCCTGATTATCTACCATATATAAGAAATATTGAATTGAGAAATATGAGAGAAATGGGATGTAATCGGTGAAATGAGTTAAGGTTTGTCGGAGATACAAAAAAAGAAAGCAAAATGGATTGAAAAAAAAACAATTAATAGTTATAAGAAGGATTGTATTTTTTTTCAAACTAAATAAGTATTATTTTGAGGAATATATCTTTTTTCTGTCTTGTAAATTCATAACTAAAAGAACTGTTTATCTTAAGTCTTAAAGCTTTTTACAATTTTTTCTTCACCATAATTTATAATGAACATAATATTTCATAATGAGTTTAGTTTACTAATAATTATGTTTTAAGGAATGATTTCTTTTAATTACAGAAGTCACAGTATAGTTTGATCAAGTTGTCATTTTATCACTCAACTGAAATTTTGAATTTGATTTTTAATTATGATAATTTTAACCGTGAATGATATTTGAACCGAAAAAATTTTAAGCTGCTGTTAATGATTTATGA